CAAGGCTGAACAGACCAGATACATGGAAGGGGCCCAGATTATCACAATGCCTGCCCAAACAGAGCCCTCAGCAGCCACTTGCTCCCACAATCCAAAATCATTAACAAGTCCCCAGCGAGACTTCACCATCTCAGATAGACCTCAGTGAAATATTAATTTGCTGAAAATTCGGATATGCAGATTTTGTGACTGAAATCTCTAGGCTTTCTCAGGATCAGGACGGGCTACCTTCCCCCACCTCCCTGTATTTCCTGAAGCCCTGCCAGTCATGTCCACAACCCTAAGCTATCAGTTAAACAAGGCTACTTCACCTGTATCTTCCCTGATCTTCAGTAAAAATACTGAATACCCTGAATAAACACCATGACCTCTTAGTACCTGTATTGCAAATCATAATGCACAAAGAGAGAGAGAGAGAAAGAAGAAAGGTGCCTTCCATGGAGGCAGGTGGGGAGGGGGGGGGAGAAAATGGGGACGTTGGTGGTGGGAAATGTACACTGGTGGAAGGATGGGTGTTGGAATATTGTATGACTGAAACCCAATCATTAATAGTTTTGTGATGATTTATCTCACAGTGATTCAGTTTTTTTAAGTGTCTCTTCCTAGGGCTGGAGAGACTGTATAGAGGGTAAGGTACTTGTTTAGCATGTGGCTGATGCAGGTTCAATCCCTGGCATGAAGTATGGTTCCCCAGATCCACCAGAAGTAATCCTTAAAGACAAAGCCAGGAGTAAGCCCTGAGTATAGCCAGGTATGCCCCCCCCAAAAAAGAACAACAAATAAAAGTGACTCCTTGCTCTTACACTAAGGTCTGCCACCACCCCTACCACAGCATTGAACTAAAACAAGAGCAAGAAAAAAAAAGTCAAAATAATCATTCCAATTAATTTAAACTCTAGACTCCTGGGAGGAAAAAAATGTTAAAGTAAATCCTTGTCCTAAGAAACAAAAAAGGCTTTTTTGTTTGGGGTTTTGGTTTTGGGCTACACGCAACTATGCTCAGGGCTTACTCCTATCTCTGTGCTCAAGGTCACTTTTGGCAAGGCTCAGGGGACCATATGGGATGCTGGAGATTTAACTCAGGTCAGCCACGTGCAAGACAAATGCCCTACCTGCTGGACTATCACTCCTCCTGAAGAACAAAAAAGTTTTAAAATGTATTTTCTCCACTTTTCTTTCTTTCTGTATCTTATTTCCCAGCTGCCAATTTCTAAACTGATACTTTCTTCTCCAGATGCCCAACCCTTCGCTGGGATTTATGCTGGTCTTTTCACTGCCTCTTTCATTGTCCTCTACCCCACCTTGTTGACCCTAGGCCAGTCCAGGTAAAAGAAGGCAAGGCATGGGGATATGGGCTAATTCCTGGGACCATTTGCTAATATGCCCGTGTCTATGGGAGAAGCCTGGTACAAAAGTCGGCTATGATGGGAGGCAGGAAATGAGATCATACTTTCAGAAGAGATACCGAGAATTCTGATATATGAGTCATATACTAGGTTCCACTTGGTAAATTATTTCTAGGCGTTTAGTAAACAGAATGCCAGCTATAGCCCGGAGCAAGACTGAGTTTCCTTGGATACATGAAATTGTCCTGCTGAGCCCAGATGTTGAAGCACTGATACTTTTTTTTTTCCTGCACCACCCTGCTTTGCTCAAGAATTACTTCTGGCTCTGTGCTCAAGGATCATTCCAGGTGGGGCTCAGGGGACCATATGGGATGTCAGGAGTGAAACCCGGATTGACCATGTGCAAGGCAAATGCCCTCCTTGCTGTACTACTCTCTGGCCTCCTGATATTCACTCTTGGAATATCTACCAAGTATCAGGGCATAAATAGGTAGTCAGAAATAAGTGGTAAAGGCTCGCGCGCGCGCGCGCACACACACACACACACACACACACACACTGATTTCTACGGAATATAGATAAGTCCGGCCAAGGAGCCAAATATGGGGGATGAAAACAAAGCTATCAGGGGCTAAGGTGAAGTCTGAGGACTGACCTTTGAGCTGTGACAGGAAGCAAGAGCAAGAGTTGTCTGGGAAGGAGACACTGACATCATGAGTAGTATCTGGAAGGTTGAGGTGTATTTGTGTGTGGTGGGAGGGTTAGGTAGAGAAATAGGGGAGACAAAAGAAAGGGCTCCATGTGGCTGGACCTGGAGAACCAGAGAAGGGGAGAGCTTCAGGGCGTGCTGGGGGAGGCTGTGTTGTGCTGGCCTTGGACAGCTGTGGAAGAGATCTTGAGTCTCATATTAGAGATCATAGGCTTTCAGCTTGAATCCCACAGGTCACACAGGCTTGGGGTCAGGTTTGTTCTAAGCACCCACCCACTGGGCTGAGTATTGCTGTACCTGGACCACCCCTCCTAAGCTCAGCCCTACTAAAACAAATAAACACAGATATACACAAGTAAATAAAACCCCAATGTTCAGTTGCAGGTTGTCTGTCCTAGAGGGAGCAGGACCTGCAGGTCCCAGCTTGGCTGGGCAGAGCACAGTGGAAGGCAGGCTTTACTCCCATCTCACCATTCTGGGTCTATGCACCATCATGGCCTGAGCTGGAGGCATTCAAGCCACCAAAACTGGCTACCAGGCAAGGCTTCACTCTGTCCCCATAAGACCAATACTTATAACACCACTGCTGCCCCTCGAATGCTGGGCCAAGGAAGTGGCACCCCCTCCAGCACTTGAGAGTCTTGTGATTTTTGCAAATCGAGACCGAGACTGGGCGGTTTTTTCCCTCCCCCCCTCCCCCGGGTCTACACTTAGCCTTTTGGAGACTGAAAAGCAGAAGTTTTAAACCCACAGCCTTTGAGCCAAACTGAGAAACAAATTCCAGCCCCTCATCATGGACATTAGATAAGCAATGAATCCCCCCTGCCAGAGTCAGACCCTGTGTTTAATTTTTTTTTGAGGTGGGGAATTGGGGTTATACTCAGTGATGCTCAAGGGTTAGTTCTGGCTCTGTACTCATGGGTCACCCCTGGTAGTGCTTGAGGAGTAGGAATTATATGCAGTGCCAGAGAATAACCAAGGGCAACAATAAGCAAGGCAAGTGCCTTAAACCCTGTAATATCTCACCCACTTTATGGGGTTGTTTCAAGGATTAAACATTTTTATAATATATGTAAACTGGAATGCTGTCTAGGGCCACCTCACCTTGCAGGTGTGAACATGACCTCTAAGATCCCTTTTAAAGAGGACCTGATGGAACCAAAGTGCTGATTGATTGAAATGATGCAAATGCCAGAACCATCCCGAAAGCACTGAATGTCTCCAGCCAGATCCTAGCGTTCTCTCTGATATGTCTGGCTGTGTTCATGGACTTGGTCCCAACTGACCAAAGGTCACAGTTTGTCACTGAGACCTAGAGAGAGAATAGAGCAGTGACTAGAGGAAAGGTGAAAGCAGACAGGTGTCCAGAAATCAGCACACACGAAAGTTCTCCAAACAGGAGTTTCTTCGTCTGTAAAGAGGAAGTAATATCTCCTTCAAGGATGGTGAAAAGACAGCAAATACCATTTAAGAACCAAGAACTAGGACTGTGTTGTGAGTAAGAGTCTTCTCTTGTTGGAAAGTAATGGATAGAGATTATTGAAAAACCTAGAAACTAAACATAAATGGACAAACTATATCCACAACACCCAGAGATAACTACCATTAACAGATTGTTGAATTTTCTCCCAAATCTGTAATTCATGCATGGAGACTACATTTTTCTAATAGACCCACAATTGGTTACTTGCTTTGCTGCTGCTGAGTTTATTGTAACTATCTCGAGTGATTTCAAAGGCTTAGACCATGTTCTCTTGTAATTATTGTAGAGAACTCTGCAGGGAGGTTTATTTGGAAGCAACTTCGCTCAGGTGACAGATAACACACCCTAGACTTTGACCTAGGAAGGCCCAGTTTTCATTGCCACAAGCCACAAAGCTCTGGAAACTGCTACTCGGTGCATGAAAACCGGAAATAAAATTCTCTCCCCGCCCTGCCTCCACATACATAGGGATGCACTTGGGCTTCTCAGAGGGGATTAAGGTAGATAAGGGATGAAACGTGCTTTTCTCAGTACCTGGTACATAGGACACGCTCAGGTAAGGCCAATCTTGAGACGGTTGTTAAGTTGGCTTTTCAACAGAGCACTCGGTTCCGTTAAAAAAGTCCTATTTCGAGAGAAGGGAGCACCAAATAAAGGGTGTTGGGAGGATCCTCCCAAGATGGGATAAGCATGCTGAAAGTAGACTACAGACCAAACATGATTGCCATTCAATGTTTCTTTTGCAAACCACAACACCCAAAAGGAGAGAGAGAACAGGTGGGATGTAGGGGGGATGGGGGGTGGGAGGGATACTGGGATCCGTGGTGCTGGGAAATGGGCACTGGTGGAGGGATGGATATTTGATCATTGTATAATTGAAACCCAAGCACAAAATTTGTAAGTCTACAACTGTACTCATGGTGTCTCACTAATAATTTTTTTTTTAAAAAAATGGAAAGAAAGAAAAAGTCCCATTTCGGACTTTCTAACTTTCTTTTTTTTTCTTTTTTGGATCACACCCTGCGAAGCTCATGAGTTACTCCGGGCAGTATATGGGACACCGAGATCGAACCCGGGTCAGCAGCGTGCAAGGCAAATGCCCTCTCCGTCGTACTATCGCTTTTCCGGACCCTGGACTTTCTAACTTTCTGTGGTTGTTTATAATAAAGCTGTCCCTCTCCCCTGCCCCCAGGCACGGGTTTACAGATCCTGCTCCCCGGGATACGGGGGAGCCACGGGGTGGTTTCTGAGCCTGGCGGGATCGGGGGTGGGGGTACAGTTGGCGCAGTTAGCTACGTCTCGGTCCCGCCCACCAGGTCTTCCCCGGGGGATGCCCCAGCGGAGTCCCGACCTACCAGGGGCGGGTCCGCAGCTGACTCGGCCTCCCATTGGCTGCGGGTTGCGACACCTGCGGGCCGGTGAGTGCAGAGGCTGGAGTTGGGACCCGGCGTTGCCGGGCCGGGCTGCCGGGCAGGCGGCGGAGGGCTGACATGGCCCGGGCCTGGCCCTGGGCCTCCCTGCTGCTGTGGCTGCTGCAATTCGCTTCAGGTAAGGCCGCGGGACGGCGGAGCGCGAGCGCGGCGGGGCGGGCGGGCCGGGAACGTCCACTCTCGGCCCCGGGTCGGTGTGCGCGTGCGGAGGAAGCGGGAGGCCCAGGGCCACCACCAGACTGGGGCCCCCTGGGCCCTGTCACCCCCCACCAGTCAACTTTTCCCGAGGACTGAACAGAGCCGAGTTTTGGAGTTCGCTACCGGGAGTGAATTCAGATTCCTATCCCGTTTCAGAAGCTCCCAGCGAACTGGAAAAGACAGTGGGAGTTGACAAAGAGGCCAGAGAAATAGTGCAGGCATTAGACGCTTCCTTGCTGCTGGTTGAGCGCCTCCTAGTGTGGCCAAACACTCCTCTCCCCTTACCTCTGAGCACCCCGTCCCCCAACTCTCTCCCCCCATTCCCCCCCCCCAAAGAAAAAAAAATCTGCTTTGACTTCAGAGCTGGGCAGTGGGAACTGGCCCTAGCCATCCCGTCATCCACCTCAGCTGAAGGAAGCCCTTGACATTGTGTCACATCCAGGGCAGTGCATGCATTTATGTGTGACAGGAACAATGTGACTGTGGGAGGGAGGTGGGGAGAGTGTCCTCCCTCCCCCTGTTTCACTGTCAAGCTTAATAGTTTTTCTGTCTGCACTTGGGCACATTCAGCCAAGGGGTATTTCACTTATAAACATAGAAAGATGGGTTAAAGAAGCCACGGGCGAAATGATTGGCCATCCCACAATCTCTGAGCTTGGAGCCACGGAAGGGAAACAGAGTGGAGGGACCCTATCCCCAAAGCGGGCTGGCCTGGTGACTGAATGAGATCTTGTACCAAGGAGGGTGACTGCCTCAGTGACTCCTCCTCTGCAATCCAGAGAGCCCTGGGGCTCATTATCGCCCCAGGAAATCTTACATGATACTAGAGGAGGACTTTGACCTCTCGATGGTTACTTACCAGTAAACTGAGAAGCTGAAAATCATGACAGCACCCATGTCCTGGCAGTACAATTCCAACTGGAGGACAGGGGATAGTGGGGAGCAGACACCCATATTTGGGTCTAAAAGACCAATGGTGGGGACCCAAACCAAGAAGCATCTGCAGAACTGGCCTCTCCATCCCTCAGGCCAGACCATCTGTACTTTGGATTTTCATCACGGCATGTGACCTGCCTAACACTGAAATCTCTGTGACGCTAGGAGCTCCAAAGGACAGTATAGAGTTGGATTCCAGTTGGACTCTTTAAAACCTCTGGCCTGTAGTGCCCCATAGATGGTAGAATAAAGCTGAACAGGACCCATAAGAACCTCAAAGAAGATATGCAGTGAAAAGCTCCACTTTGGTGGGGGTGAGCAGAGACAGCAGACAGCAGAGAGGTTAAGGTGCTTGCCTGTGTGCAATGACCCAACACCACATGGTTCCTGGTAATCCCCAAGCAGCACCATATCCTCAGGCCCTCACACTGAATCTTCAGGTTTATGGGCTGCGAATTGGTGGGACAGGCCCTTGGCCTCCTGAGCACTGTTTGGGGAACCTCCCTCCACCCCACCTCAAACTCTCCCCCAAATAAATATCTTCAAGTTCAGAGCTGGCTGGACTCGGATTTGTATTCAGAGTCTACATGTCATCAGCTAGGAGGACCTCACTTTTCTCACTTGTCATGTTACTGTCACTGTCACTGTCATCCCATTGTTCATCGATTTGCTCGAGCGGGCACTAGTAACATCTCCATTGTGAGACTTGTTGTTACTATTTTTGGCATATCGAATACACCATGGGGAGCTTGCCAGGCTTGCCATGTGGGCGAGATACTCTCGGTAGCTTGCCAGGCTCTCAGAGAGGGGTGGAGGAATCGAACTCGGGTCAGCCACATGCAAGGCAAACGCCCTACCCTCTGTGCTATCACTCCAGCCCACACTTGTCATGTGATCATTATAATTACCTGCTTCTAAGAGAGTAGAAAGGGTTTAAAGACAAAATACAGGCAAAGTGCTTAGCACTGTCTATAGAGTTAGGACACAAAACACACTTGGCTGCTGTTGCTGTTACCATCATCATCATCACCATTACCACCACTACTTAATTTTTTGGCCAGAGGTGGGGGGTATACTCATCTGTGTCCATGGATTAGTCCTGGCTCTGTGCTCAGGGATCATTCCTGGAGGTGTTTAGAGAATCATATGCAGTGTCAGGGATCACCACATGCAAGGCAAGAGGCTTAAACCCCTGCACTGTCTCTCTGGCCCCACATCAACACTGCTTCTTAGAGAAGTAAAGGAAGATATCCTGGAGGTAGTGATGCTTGAATTAAGGCTTGATAGGATTAGACAGTGAGCACCAGGCAGTCAGAACATCTGGGTTCACAGACACACAAAAGGATGCAAAAGTTGAGAAGAGCAGAAAAGGACAGCATCTGTAGCCCCACATACCTGCAGAAAGCTGGGGGGGGGGCCGCGGGGAACGAGGTGGGTGGCCAGGCCATGACCTCACAGACTTCCATAAGGTATGTGGACTGTATTCTGAAGGCAAGGGAAAAACATGAAACAGGAGTAGTCAGATAGAAATTCCAGGTCCTACGGGTTAGCAGTGAGGAGGGAAGAGATATCAAGCCTGCATGAAGGCGATCGGGGAGCATGTCACTGAGTCAGTGGCATCTGAGCAGAGATGTGAGGGACCAAAAGGAGTGCCAGGTGGACACACAGAGATCAGCCTAGGCAATGAGAACAACTTGTAGAAAGGCCTTGAGAGGGGAGCATGCCTGGGGGGCTCTAGGAACATCAAAAAGACCCCAGGAAAAGGCCTGAGGGGAGAGTCAGATGGGGCAGGAATCTATGGGTAGAGGTGAAGATACTGGATGAATGAAAGGGAAACCTTTAGAGGGTTTCAAGCAGGAAAGTCACTGGTCATTGGCTTTCACTTTCACTGGCTGCTTTGTGAAGAATGGGTGGAGGAGACAAGGTTGGAAGCCAGGGGACCAGTTAGGGAGCCTTTGGAGTATTTGCAGTTACCACAAAATTCATTTGCCTACTCACAATGAAGATGTTACTGGTGCCTGCTCGAGCAAATCGATGAACAATGGGAGGACAGTGCTACAGTGCTACTCAGCGGGGAAGAGCTTGCAGGCAGGGTGGAACATGTCTCAGAACCAGAGAGAGTCCCTGGTCCCAACACCCTTGAGGCGATTCCCTGCTACAGGACTCCCAGATATATTCTATGGTATTCTGCCAGGCCTCCAGGTGCCAGGGTGCCAAGGGCACAGATGGCCCATGGAGGCCAAAGGAGTGGAGGGGCCTGTGGCACTGTTGTGGCTAGAATCCTGACATCCGTTCCCTGCCGTCACCCTGCCCCTAGCCCAGGCTACTCCAGTTGGTCCCCACACTCAGCCCAAACCTGACTGTCCACCCCATTGCTCTTCTGCCCTGAATGACCACATCTATACATCAAAGCTCCAGACTTCATGGCCCCTTTCTCCCCCACAGGGAAGCCCTCTCTGGCCCCTCCTCAGAATGTGACGCTGCTCACCAGAGACTTCTACATGTACCTGACTTGGCTCCCGGGCCCTGGCAACCCAGAGAATGTGACCTATTCTGTGCAGTACCAGAGGTAGGAATGTGCCTCCAGGCTGCTGGGAAGGGGCCCTGGGTTCTCTGGGCCAGTTGCCTCCAGGGTCGCCACTGTGGTCAGGGTCTGCGCCCTGAGAGAAGCAGCAGTGGGCAATATATGGAGCGTGTGTGTGTGTGTGTGTGTGTGCGCGCGCACGTGCTGAAGGCTGACAGCTAGGAATAATCCTGCCTAGAGAACATCTTTCTCTCCTAGGGGTTTCCGAGTTATTGTAACTAGAAATTAGTGGGGGGGTTGTTTGTTTTGTTTTGTTTTTAATTATTTTAGGCTGGAAAGATAGTGCAGAAGGAAAGACGCTTGCCTGCGTGCAGCTGCAATGACCTTGTTCCTAGTTCCAATCCCTAGGGTTACATTTTGTCCTCTGAGCACCACCAGGGGTCACTGCTGAGCACAGAGCCAAGACAAGCCCCTGAGCACTATTGGGTATGGCCCAAAGCCAACACAAAACATAGTAAAAAATTTAAAACATTTGTTCTGTGGTGGTAAGATGTCCCAGGCTAATTTGTGTACTTCCCAATGCAGGATCAGCCATTTCTCCATTTAGTAGTATAAGAAGAAAAAGGGACAGTAAGAATGATCAAACAGAGAAAAGGTCATGTGAGGACACCATAAAAAGAAGTGGGCCCCTGCCAGTCTAGGAGAAACTTCAGAAGGAACCAAACTTGTTGTCACCTTGATCTTGGACTTCAGCCTTCAGAACTGTATGAAATAAATTGCTGTGGTTTCAGCATTCCCAGTCTATGGTATTTCATTATGGTGCCCTTGCCACACCGATACAGATTCTGGAACCGTCAGTGGGGGTGCGAAAGTGACTGTACATGGGTAATAGGTAGAGCCTTGAGGAGTTTTGTGGTGCATACGAACAAAACCCTAAATTGCTTTAAGGAAAATGTTGCTAAGAATATGGACCTTAAAGGGTAGTCTTTGATGGAAAGGAAAACCATTTTAGTGGGAACTAGAGAGAAAGTAGTCCTTGTTTGAGGTGGCAAAATTGTGACTGAACTGTGCTCCTGTGTTTTGTGAAAAGTTGAAGTTAAAAGTGATGTATCTTGGACAAGGAATCTAACTGAGTGATGGCGCACAAACTTGACATATAGGAGACCTGCTGCCCCTTGCAAATTTTTATTTCTAAGAATTTTGACATTATTCTGTTTTAGATATTGACTAATTTTCCTCAGTCCTGAGTTTCATAAGCGTTCTTAAAATTTAATTTTTCAAACTTTATTTCCCCTTTCATTATTGTCTTTTCACTGGATTATTCAGTCAGAGGAAATGTTTTTTGTGATACCTATTCAAATTTTTTTCAGTTGCTTTTTTTTTAAAATGTTAATTAAAAAAAATCAATTTAGGTGCCATGATTTACAATACCGATAATGATAGGGTTTCATCCATAAAATGTTCTAACATTTCACCCACTACCAGAGTATCCCCCACCTACAACCTATGTCCCCGACCCCTCACATCCCCAATCTTCCACCATGGTAAGCTCAGTTCTATAGACCAGTTTTCAGAACTCTGTTGTCTTTGACCATTTGTTATTGGCCTTCTGGGTTTCATTAAAGGCTACCTATGAAAGAGATGAGGCCTCCTTTAAGGCACCTCTCTGTCCCTCCCCTAGCCCGTCTCTCTCTCACCTGTGCCTGTCCCTCTCCTTCTGACTCACTTCACTCAACAGGATACTCTCCAAATCCATCCACAGCAGCAAATGCATTTGTTCTTTTCTTACAACTGATTAGTATTCCATTATGTATATGACTATGTATATGTACCACAATTTCTTTGTCCAGTCATCTATCTGTTCTTGGACACTGGATTGCTTCCATCATTTGTCTATCATGAATAGTGCTACAATGAACATAGGAAAATGCATGCCTTTTCTTAATATAATTTTTTTACTATATTGTTGTGCTTTATTAATATTAAGCCATGATCATTTGAGTTTGTGTGCTTATTTATTTTGTGCAATAAATAAGCCATTACTGTAGAAAGAAGGGGGGGAAATGATTCAGCCCAACCACCATCTAGAAACTGACAAAGACTTAGTCAGAGGCTTGGCTATACATACTTTTAGAACAGATGGTTGATGCATGTTATGTCTGCCTACTCCCCAAACTGGTTCCAGTATTCTATAATCACAAAATCATCAGCCATAACTCCTTCTCACAGCAGGGGTGGGGGATTAGGGATGCCCTACAGGTTAGCAGAGTTTAAGGGGTCCAGGTCCAGTAGAGTATTCTCCCTTGGGAGGCATTATACATGTTATGATCCTGCAGAGGGTCAGAGTCTACAAAATACAGTTCCCCTGCATGGACGTCAGAGAATTTAGCCAGGGAGTCCTGGGGATCAAGCTAACCCACACAGTATAACGATAATCTACTGTGCGTATGGAATAGCCCATGACTTTGATATCTTTTAAGTTGGGCTTGTCAGAATTCCACTTAGGAAAATCTTCAGGCCGGGGGTACTGGCTATAGGCGATGGACTCTCGAGGATTCCCACGCAGGGAGGGATCCTCTTCTAAGTCACGGGACCGAAAATGACCCAGCAGAGTCTGGTCTTCTCTGCACAGTGCGACATGAAATGAGGGAATGGGGCAGCGAGGGGGAACCTGTAGTCCTGCAAGACCCACGAGCATGGCGAAGAGAGAGACAAGTTCCACCAGGTCCTCAGTTTGCCGACCTGTCTCCATCAATCCTGGGGCAGAATCAAAAGGGTTGATATAAGGGAAAAGCTTCTGTTCTGACTCTGGAAGTGGAGCTGTCCTTCCGGGCACGTAGAACATCAGAGGAACTCAAGTAGTCACGTCAGAATTGCTGTATTTGGCCCATTCGCCATGTTTACCACCCATGATCTGAGGTAAACACGATGATTGTGCGGTTGGTCAGCTGAAGATGATCCAGTGTGCTCAGAAACTGACCAACCTGGGTGTCCAAATAGGAAACAGGCAAAGTAGCTTTGGCGAATTTTCTTCTGAAAGTGCTCGGGAATTGGGCCATAGGGCACAATGAGATTCAAGGCCTGCACATCCTCTCGCTCCCTGATGTCTATCCAGGGGTTGTAGACCACAGGTGGGAGGCCGGCCAGGACCTGAGGGTCGGGAGCCAAGGTGATGCTGTCCAAGGGGTACAGCTTCTGAAATTCCTTGGGGTATCTGAAAGGGATGTGTGGCTTATGGTACCCAACAGCCAGGAAGAAAGGACTGGCCGACGTCTTCATCTTCTGCAGCAAGCGGATGGCTTGCTTGGTGCTCTGTTTGTCAGGCAAGGTTCCCTCGGGCATGTCGGCCACATCCACAGGGCAAAGCAGGTTGGCATGGAGCCCTCCGTCCGGTCCCCTGCATGTCTTGGTGTTCTCATACTTTTCAGAGGAGGGGTGATATGGTGGGATTGACCAGTTATACTGAGAGTCATCACTATGGTTTGAAGATATTCCGGGATGAAACACTTTGCCCACGGACATGGTCGCATAGCCGTTCTCCTTGAAGTACTGGGGGAGCGTGGAGAAGTTCCCAGCGTGCGCCCTCCAGTAGGAGCTGAAGTCATAGAGGCGGGTTGTGTCAGGTCGCCTCCCGGTAAGAAAGGACAAGCGGCTTGGAGCACACACTGCTTGCTGAGCAAAGGCATTCTGGAAAAGGAGGCTGTGGGATGCCAGCTGGTCAATGTTTGGGGACCGGATCAACTTGTCCCAGTAACAGCCAAGGGACGAACGCAGGTCATCCACGATGATCAGGAGAACATTCTGTGTCTCTGTAGTCAAGTTGTTCGGCATTGTGGACTCAGGCGAGGCACGGATGAAGCCCAGAAGCACAGTGAGCCACGGCAGAATCCGGCCCGGTGGTGGCATGGTGGCCCCCGCGGGGCCACAGAGACTGGCGGTGGCGGGAGGACCGAGTGGTCGCCGCCCGGCCGGACCACAACGGGGACTTCGCAAGACCGCGCGCCCCTCAGGCCCTCCCGGGGGTCTTCTTAATACAGTTTTTGAGAGTAGATGCCAAGAAGTAAAATTGCTGGACTGTATGGAATCTCACTTCATTTTTTTTTGAATCAACATGAGATACAGTTTCAAAGCTTTTGTGATTTTCAGTCATAAAATAATGGAGCACCCTCCACCAGTGTACATTTTTCACCAATGTCCTCAGTCTCCCTCCCGCCAGCCACTCCCTGACCCCACCTCTGCCTCTATGGCAGACAGTTTCCTTCTTACTCTCTCTCTACTTTTTGGGCATTATGATTTTCAATACAGATACTGAGGAGCTATCATGTTTGGTCCTTTATCTACTTTCAGCACACATCCTCCATCCCGAGCGATCCCTCCAACCGTCATTGACTTAGTGATCCCTTCTCTATCTCAGCTGCCTTCTCCCCAGCTTATGAGACAGGCTTCCAACCATGGAGCAATCTTCCTGGCCCTTGTGTCTACTGACCTTGGGTTGGAATCTCACTTCTTAGTTGTGTGAGAAGTGGCCACATTATTTTCCAAAAAGTTTCAACCAGTCAGCATTCCAACCAGAAATGGATGAGGGTCCCCATATACAAACCAACACTGTTTGTGTTTTGTTCTTTGTGATGTGTGCCACTTTCACTGGTGTGAGGTGATATCTCATTGTTGTTTGGATTTGCATTATTATCTAATCATATTATAGGCATATCTTTTTGACAGAGTTTCTGTTCATCTCTTCTCCCAATTTTTTGATAGTGTTGATTTTTTGTTGTTGTTGTTCAATTTTTATGAGTACTGGGGCTGGAGAGATAGTACAGTGGGTAGGGCAATTGCCTTGCATGTAGCTGATTCAATTTTAATCCCCAATATCCCATATGGTCCCCTGGCCACTACCAGGAATATAATTCTGAGTGCAGAGTCAGGAGTAAGCCCTGAGCATCTCTGGGTGTGCCTGGTTAAAAAAAAAAAGTCTTTATGAGCACTTTATAGTCCTTGAATACTAGCCCTTTGTCAGATGAGTATTGATTTCATTTTGTTTTATTGTTTGCTAACTACTGACTCTGCACTCAGAAGTTACACCTGGTGGTACTTGGGGAACCATATGGATTGTCACGGATCAAATCCAGGTTGGCCACATTCAAGGCATATATCCTATCCACTGTGCTATCTCTCCAGCCCCTGTCAGATGAATGTTGAGTAAATATTTTCTCTCAGTCTGTGGGATGTCTCTTTATTTTGGTCATTGTCTCTTTCTCAGTGCAGAAACTTCGTGTTTTTTTCTTTATGTAGGAGTACTAGTATTTATTCAGCCACTGATTAGCTGATTGAATTGGGCATGAACTCCACCTTACTTTTTTTTTCATTTTTTATAATTTTATTTATTGAATCACTGTGAGAGCAGTTACAAAGTCTCGCTCATACACTGAAACGCCCGTACTTTCACCAGTGCCCATTCTCCATCCCCATCCCTCCCCCTCCCCCTACCTGTGGGGCAGATGATTTCCACATTACTCTCTCTCTACTTTGATTACATTCAATATTTTGACACCAGGCCCACCATTATAATTTGAGATTTTACCCCAACACTCAGATCTGCTGAAAAGGCAACAGTAGACAACTGGTTTTCTATTCCTGGTTATGAATAACATTTGATGTCGCGTGGCTGCAGTAGTGGCCACGTGATTTTGAAATTCTGAAATTTTAACGGTTAAATCTGGAGGGATTTCTGCTAAAACCTACTAGGTTCTGACATTTGTTCCTGAGTCTCTTGGATCATGGCCGTTAAGCAGCTTGATCAGGAGCCAGAAAAGCCGTTAGTGGGTGGCAACTTGGGTTCTCATCGGGATGGGAGGAAAGGGCCAGCTCCACCCCCATCCCATGAGGCCCCATGTGTCTTGTCACTGTGAGCCCAAACCTGACTGACCAATGGCCTCTGGCAGATGGCAACCACCGAGACGCCGAGGGGGAGCAGATGGAGGGATAGCACCCTTTCCCCCCTGGAGTGGCCGGGTGACAGTAACCTACTACGCAGTCTGAATGCATTTCTGCCAAAAGTCACTAGGTTTCAAGATTTGTTTGAGTTTCTGGGATCATGGCCATTAAACAGCTTGATCAGGAGCCAGAGAGGCCATTCATGGGCGATGACTTGGGGTCTTGTTGGGATGGGGAGGAAAGGACCAGCTCCACCCCCATCCCGTGAGGCACTGTGTGTCTCGTCCCTGCGGGCCCAAACCTGACTGTCCAGTGGCCTCTGGAGGATGGCGGCCACCAGGCCGCCAGGGGGAACAGGCCAAGGCACGAAACCTATTTCCACCTGGGGTGGTCCAGCGCCAGTAACCTACTGCAGGGACTGGACGCATTTCTGCCAAAAGCCGCTGGGTTCTGCGAATTTTTTAGTGCAGAAACTTCTTAGTTTGATATATTTCCTTTGTTTGCTTTGTGTTTGTGTTTGCTTCTGTGTTTATACTTTTATTATTATTTTGTTAATGATTCATGGATGCCCAACCAATTTAGTTTTAGAATAATCATTATAATCATTAGACCAGCTTTGTCTTTTTTTTTTTTAATTTTCTAATTTTCTTTGGATTTTGGGCCATCTGGCAATGCTTAGGGTTTACTCCTGGCTCTGCACTTAGGGATCACTCTTGATTAGACCATATGAAGCACCAGGGATCCAACCCAGGTCAGCTACATGCACAACAAGTGCCTTACACATTGCACTATCACTCTAGCTCAATTTTGTCTATTTTTACTGTGCACAGTTTTGGAGTTTGAAGTTACACAGGTATATGCCATTTCGATTGGGGGAGGGGGAAGGAAGGGGGGATTGGTTGTCTTTTGTGAAAAGGATTCAGGCCATACCTGCACATGTTCAGGGCTTACTCCTGGCTCTGCATTCAGGAATCACTCCTGTTAGAGCTTGGGGGGACTATATGAGGTTCTGGGATCAAATCCAGTTCAGCCAAGTGCAACACAAAAATGCCTTACTCCCTGTACTAAAAGTTTGGGGGTTTGTACTTCCTGGTCGATGGAATCATTTATCATTTTGTAGTCATTCTTTTCATCTTTATTATTCTCTATATCTGGTTCATATTTTGATTCATATTATTGTAAATATGCCAGTTACTTTATGGCTGATATTTACGTATTATAAGTAAAGTAAGTAAAGTAAAGGCCCTCCCGTTGATCATCGATTTGCTCGAGCGGGCCCAGTAACGTCTCCATTGGAGACTTTGTTGTTACTGTGTCTGGCATATCGAATACTCTCGGTAGCTTGCCGGGCTCTCCGAGAGGGGCAGAGGAATCGAACTCGGGTCGGCCATGTTGGCTGCATGCAAGGCAAACGCCCTACCCGCTGTGCTATCGCTATAATTTCAATAAAACACAAAACAGAGGAATTCTCCCCCTCCAGCCCCCCATTTGTTTTTGTTTTGTTTTGTTTTTTGACCCATCCCTGTCAGTTTTCTCCACTCCCGTGCTCTGTCCCCACCCCCACATTCTCCTTTTCTTCACATTCCACTTTCTTTTTTTTTTTTTTAATTTTATTGAATCACCGTGAGAAAGTTACAAGCTTTCATGTTTGGGTTACAGTCACACAATCATCAAACACCCATCCCTCTACCAGTGCACATTCCCCACCACCAATCTCCCCAGCATACCCCCCTTCCCCACCCTCCCCCTGCCTCTTTCAAGTCAGGAGCAACTCTGCAAATCTACCTCACAATTATCTCTAGAACCCTGCCCATCCTACCTGGCCTTGTCTGTTGTCTCTGAAAGTGTTGCCTCCTAGTTGTTCTATCAGAAGGACCTAAAAGCATGAACTATGTCTCCTCCGTTGACTTCTTGGGAGCCTTCCAATGGCCTCCAGTCAGAATGAATCCTACATTACTTACCAAGCCCTGCAACCCCCCACAATTCTCCTCAGTCCCCACACCTCACCTCACCACCCCCCCCCCACCTCTCCGGCCCTTGGCTTTGTCTTTCTGGTCTCCTTGTTTTTCACCCACAGTTCTGTTCCTTCCCCCAAATTTTCCCTGGCCTCCAACCTCAACATTATGGTCTCAGCTTCATTATTACATTCCTGGTCTTTCCTGGACTGCCTTTGAAAAGCAGTCAGCCCTGTGTAACCCCATCATTCATGCCTACCATCCCGTTATACTGTGATAGTTATCTCTTGCCTCCCCATTCCCCCGCCAGCCCATATACCCGGAGGGCAGGGTCAGGTCTGTCTTATTCCAGCATGCGGGTCCCCTTTTTGAACCCCAGAAACCTCAGGAGTCATAGACCTGTCAACTCCCTTGCTCCCCACTCTACTCCCTACATGGTGCCTGGCACACAGTCAATGGGTCAACAGTGAAGGAAGGAGTACGCATGTAGAAAATGGTTTCTAGAACCAGTTCTAGCAACTACCACAACAGCCCTTTGAGATCCTTGACAGAAAAGGAGACTGAGGCTGAGGGTCAGTTACCTGGGGAAGGTCCCAAAGCCAGTGACAGGAAGAGCTAGGGTTCCCACAGGATCCATCCGCCTCCAGAGCCTGAGATTCTAACCACGTGTTTTCATTCTGTTGATTGGATGGATGGATGGATGGATGGATGGATGGATGGATGGATGGATGGATGGATGCATGGATGGATGGATGCATGGATGGATGGATGGATGGACAATTATGCTGAGTAGAGGGCTGAGCCATCACCTGTTCCCTAGACCCCTCTCCTCCAGAGACAGAATCCATGCCCCAGGCCTCCTGTCTTCTCCCTCAGCCTTTCAGAAACCAAGTGGCACAAAGTGAAGAGTTGCAGAAGAACCACAGCACTGAACTGTGATCTGACATGCCTGGAGTCCCTGGACAAGTTTAATAAGGTCAAAGCACAAGTGCGAGCCATTTCTGCCAAGTCCAAGTCACACTGGGTGGAATCTAGGTTTCTGGAATACCTATTTGAAGGTAGGTGTGTGGAGACTCTCTGGGGACTTAACTGAGTGGTGCTACTGCCTAGCCTGTCATTTGCTTCCCACTTCCCCAAGCCCAGGGGCAGCTTTAGAGTGAAAGATACATCACTGCAATGGTTGGGAGGATAGGAATAAGGGATTGGAGCTGTAGAAAGAAAGATGCAGAGAGAAGATTACTTTTTTCCTAATTAATTTTCTGCCTCCTTTGCTCTGCAGCCCTCCTGATTCTCCTGCAGTGCAGCCAATCCTCAATGGTTTTCCTTCTTTATTTGGGGGTTTTATTATTTGTTTTGTTTGTGAGGGAGGGGTGTGGTTCTTGAGTTACTGTGGTTCTTGAGTTACTCCTGTTTCTGTGCTCAGGGGACCATGTTGTGCTGGGGTTGAACCCTGGTCTCCTGCATGCAGGGTGTTCTCCATCCCACTGAGCTATAGCTTTCTGGGCCCTCTCTTGCCTTTTTACCCTCAACTGTGGCCCTGTTCACTTTCTTTCTTGAATTCTGGTCATTCACATATTTTACTTCTAACTACTTTCCACCCAGCTTCTGGAAGTCATTATTCATGAGGCTTCACTTCCCACTGCCCCTCATTTCTCTGCCCAGGGATTAATATGGAACCAGTGTTCAGCAGATGCTTCCAGAACACATGATGTTAGCAGCACAAGGAAACTCTACATTTTCCCTGAGCACAGAGCAGAGATAATCAATGTGATCAGAGTTCCAGCAGGCTGGTCATCAGGGAAGCTCTCATGGGGAAAGCAGCATTTAAACTGAACCTTAAACTTGCTATATACATTTTCTCTTGTTACCACACTGCTAGTGATGTTGCCTTCTGTCTTTAGATCAGTGTGCAAAGTTAGATGACCTTGACGAGAGTATTAACAAAAATATGGATGTGAAAGGCTACTAGTGAAGTCTCAGAAAGAAGGGAGAAGTCAGATAGAACAGTGGTCTTTAACCTCTACTCTACAACAAATGCTGGTTCACAGGTGAAAAAAAAATTGGAAACCACTGGCCTACAAGTCTGTGACCTCGGTTATAGCTGCTGGTCTGGTCTGCTGTGGACAGGAATGCAGGACAGGGTCTGATCCACTAGTGTAAAAGAGTTGAAGAATACTGCTGTAGAAAATACTTAACTCTTCAAGAATATCTAAATTGCCATGAGCAGATTGTTAATAGATTGTTAGTAGGTGTTAAAGGCAGTGCTCAGAAATAGAAATGAGAGAGATGTAATTGAAAACTTGAGAGTGATGCTTGCTTTTTTGACACTGGCAGAAAGCTTGTAGAATCAATTCTTGCAGGTATGCAGAAAGTTAAAGTTGCATGTGATAACTTCTGATGTTTATCAGGGAAATTACCAACTTAAGTGTTAAGTACATGACCTGGTTTCTTGCAAGAGAAATTGGAAAAAAAAAATCTAAGACAACATGAACTTGATTATTTGGGAAATTCTCAATCTATTCAAATAGCAAGAGATCTTAGAATTGGTTTCCAAAAGTGTGGCATAAATAAACAGCCAAGTATGTGGTTCTAAGATCTTTTACTAAAATCGCCAAACAATTCTGGGGCTGGAGTGATAGCACAGTCAGTAGGGCCTTTGCCTTTCATGCGGCTGACCCGGGTTCAATTCCCAGCATCCCATATGGTCCCCCAAGCACCGCCAAGAGTAATTCCTGAGTGCATGAGCCAGGAGTAACCCCTGTGCATCACCGGGTGTGACAAAAAAATCAAAAAACAAAAAAAAAATAAAATCTCCAGACAATTCAAAGATCAAAGTGCTCAGGTCATTAAAAAAAAAAAAAAAAAAAAAAAAAAAAAAAAAACCTCTGAAAAGATTAAGAGTTTGATTCCTCTTTCCCGAGCGCTGCTTGGCCCCAGGAGCCGGAGCTGTCTGTCGGAGCTGTCGTGTGTCCTTCCCCCACCCCATCCCCGCCTCCATGAACGTGGCAGCCAATAAAGACCATTGTTGTGTACCGTGAAAAAAAAAAAGTTTGATTCCTAGTTCCCCCCAAACAAATGAAGAGCATTTAGTCTTCTTAACTAAACCCCCAAATAGAAAAGGACTTAAGTCAAAAGGGTTTGTGCACTTCGCTTCTATCCAATGGATTAACTCCTCAAGACATTCACAGAGATCCGTAAAGTTCTTGAAAATCCTCTATTAGCAGAAACATTGTCAGCTGGACTAAAAGGAACAGGGAGAATATAAAAGGCTATTTAGGACCCAACTTCTGATGATGTGAAGCACATTTATAATATACAACTTACTGTAAATACCAGCTATCTGTCACTGTCACTGTCACTGTCCTCCCGTTGTTCATCAGTTTGCTTGAGTGGGCCCAGTAATGTCTCCATTGTGAGACTTGTTGTTACTGTGTTTGGCATATCAATATGTCACAGGTAGCCTGCCAGGCTTTGCCGTGAGGGTGAGATACTCTCGGTAGCTTGCTGGGCTCTCTGAGAGGGGTGGAGTAATCGAATCCGGTTCGGCTTGGTTAGCCTTGTGCAAGGGAAACGCCCTACCGCTGTGCTACCGCTCCACCCTGCCAGCTATCTGTCATGAATATATATATATATATATATATATATATATATATATTCAGAAGGAATTAAGAGCCCAGATGCAATGTTGAGAACCAGTGACAAGTGAGAATCAGTGACAAGTGAGAACCAGTGACAAGGAACTTTGCCTTGCACACGGCAGACCGGAGTTTGATTCTCAGCATCCCATATGGTACCCATGAGCACCGCCAGGAGTAATTCCTGAGTGCAAAGCCAGGAGTGACCCCAGAGCATTGCCAGTATGACCCAAAAATCCAATAAATAAATAAACAAATAAATAAATAAATGGGCTCTGTCTAATCCCATGATCCCTGAGAAGCAAAATCCTTTCTCCAGCTAGAAGCTAAACACCATATGAATCAAAATCATAGTAGAAGAACAGTAGAGAGTGCTTCCAGGTCGAAGATGCAGGGGTACTGTGATAAGAAATGCAGGTCTCTATAGGTGCTGAGAGAAACTCAGATCTCTCTACAGCCCCAAGAAGCTGAAGTCTGCCAATAGTCTGAATGAGCACAGTAGTAAGTTCTCCCCCAGAGGTTCCAGATGAGAGTTCAGAATAGCTAGTTTCTGCCCTGTGGTCCCTAGAGTAAAGGATCATTCAGCCTACTGGATTCTGACCAGAATCTATGAGAGAAGAGTCTGTGCTGTATTAAGCCACTAAATTGGTGAGTGATGTGGTACCTACAGAAAACTAAAACCAAAAGGCAGAGCTCTGAGAGGTGGTGGTATATCTGAGGCACCCAGATGGCAGGGACAATGGGGGCCAAGGCAGGTGCATGAGCATGACCCTGTCCACATTTCCCTATTCATCTCAAGTCTGCCCATCTGTAAAGGACTCTCTCTCTCTCTCTCTCTCTCTCTCTCTCTCTCTCTCTCTCTCTCTCTCTTCCATGCTCACTTCAGGGCTTAAATACAAAGACTTTATTGCATAAGGCTCTTGGTGCATGGTGCATCTTTGGCTCTCTGGATGTGTGAGGAACAGGCTTGGCTGGAGGTCACAAGGTGGCACACTAATCCAGAGGGTTCTAATGGGTCCCATTTTTTTCCTGTCAGTGGAGCCAGCCCCACCTGTCCTACTCATCACTCAGGCAGAAAATTTCCTGAACATCAAGGCCACGTACCAGCTGCCCTCTTGCAGGGACTTGAATCTGAAATATCAGTTGGCTTTCTGGAAGGAGGGGACAGAGAACAAGGTGAGAAGTTTGTTTTCTGCCTCTGTCTTGGGATCTCCATCCTCATTTCCCCCACAACCCCCGGTGCCCTTCATGTCCCTAAGCCTGTTCCCTTCACCTCTGCTCCAGAAAGTCTACCCATTATGCCCCTCACTCCCCACAGATTCCCCCTGACTGCACAGTGAGATCAGCCTGTGGTCCACCCTAGCCCTTCTCTATCTACTATACCAACTCCTGTCCCTGCACGTGATGTGTTACAGGGGTAGAAACATAAGAGTTTCTACCCAATTTATTTAAATGATGAAACTCTTCGGCTCCCCCACATCCCCCCTCCCCCCCAATGAAATGTTAGTGAAATACAGTGGGTGCCAGGCGACCTGTTTGCCAAACCACCAAATTCACTACCAAAAATAGCAGGCAAATGAGCTCTCAGAAGGAAACCAACTCTTTGGTGTCTGTTCAGGTCCAGTGTGTGTGTGTGTGTGTGTGTGTGTATGTGTGTGTGTGTGTGTGTGTGTGTGTGTGTGTCTGAGTCTGCATTTGTCTGTGTGTGTGCATACATGCTCACATGTGCGTACATGCACACACATATGCCAGGGGGCAGGGCAGATTTTTTGTTGTGGGTTAGAGTGCAGATGGTTCCAACCTGTTGGCTGTGTGGGCTATCATGGCCACTCTACAATCAGAGAAGAGGAGGTGTAGACCCATGGACATGAGCAGGCAGGACCAGCTTCCAGAAAGACTATTTACTCAGCCCTGAACTGTCTAGTCTGGTTCCTGTCCCTTCTGTTCACCCACACTCACACTCCTCACCTCGAGCGTCTCTGGATCCTCAGGATATCGCTTTCCATCCCAAGTGGTCCCTGTCTTCGAGAACCTCACAAGTATTCCTGATCAAAACTGCCCCACAGAAATACAGTGCAAGGATCTTCTGTAATGTGCTAATGACCCACGTTAAGTAAAAAGAAATCCGTAAATTCTATTTTAGTTGTAGATTTTATTTCAACAAAAAAGCATTGTGGGGGAGTGAGGGGAGAATGGAGCTGGGCCACACCCTGCGGTGACCGGAGGCTATTCCTGGCTCGGGAAATGACCCCTGTGGTACTTGGAAGACAGTATGCAGTGGCTGAACTACAGTCAGCTCCATGGGGGGCAAGTACTTTACTTCCTATTCTACCTCTCCAGCCCCAACATGTTATCACTTTAATATGTAATTAATGTACAACTTGGTGAGTTTGTCTGCACTCTTTGCACTTCATTCTTAAAAGGAGGCATGGTATGTTTCATACTTAGAGCACACACCTCTGTCTGAACCTACCACATTTCAGGGATTCCATGGTGTCTTGAGGCCAGTGGCTACTGTATTGGACCGGGCAGCCCTAAAGTTTTCTGTGTCTGTCATAGCTGAATGATAGCCCTCTGCTGCATTCAATTAGGAGGGCCTGGGGGCAGAAGGGCTAAGGAACCCTCCCCTTTATCAAGGACCTGCAGGCCTTAGTGGCAGGGCTGCCCTTGAATCCAGACTGTCCCCAACTGGGCACTTTGTGGAAGCTTTGGGTTTCTTAATCTTGAACTTTAACCCAGGAAAAGAAAAGATCAGGGATCACTGCCAACCCCACCCCATTCTTGTTGTCTGGAGCCAGCCCTCACAATACTTCTGCTCTGCTCCTCTTCCCACGCAGACCCTCTTTCCAGATAACCCAGTTCAAATTCCTCTCCCACCACTTGCCTATGGAAACTACTGCCTGAGTGCCAGAACCATCTATGCCTACAGTGACATCAAATACAGCAGCTTCTCCACACCCACCTGCATCTTTCTGAAGGACCCAGGTGGGTGCCATGTGCTAGGAAGGGAGGGCTTTCTCCTGGGGCCTCCACATCTTGCCCTGGGCTGTTCAGCTCCTGGATCTAGCACTCTTATTGTGTATCCTTGGGCAGCATAGCTACCTCTTAGCTACTTTGGTTTTACAATCTATTCTAAATAAATAAATTTTTAAAAAATACAGGATAAGAATGGTTTGTTAAAGACTGGAGATATAGTATGGCAGGTAGGGCACTTGTCCTGCATGCAGCTGACCTGGGTTTAATCCCCAGTATCCCAAACAATCACTAGGAGTAGTTCCTAAGCACAGAGCCAGGAGTAACTCCGGAACATTGCCAGGTGTGGCCCAAACACCTTAAAAAAGAGAAAAAAAAAAGGATGGTTTGGGGCCAAAATGGTAGTACAGCTGATAAGACACTTGCCTTGCACATGGCCAGCCCAGTTCTTTCCCTAGCGCCCCATGTGATCGATCCCCTGAGCATCACCAGAAATGATCCCTGAGCACAGAGCCAGGAGTAAATCCTGAGCTCTGCCAGGTGTGGCTCAAAAACAAAGAATGATTTATCGACTGACAGAGGATTTCCACGGGCAGGGAAGATTGGGGGGGGGGGGGTTCCCATTCAGTGCTCAGTGGCCCCAGGGCCACTCCCTAGCTCTAATACTCTGCCGGGCTATATGGATGTGATGTTTCAGTGCTCCGGCGCTATGGTCTGGAACACTAGGACTATAACCAAAAGTGCTGGGAGGGGTGGGCATGCAATGTCAGGTGTAGAAATAGGGGCTTAGTACATGTAAGGTCCATACTCGAAGCCCTCTGAACTATCTCCTGGCCCCAGGAATGGTTTATTTGTGCAAGGATCCAGTGAAGCCTCTGACTTACACGTATTGACAGGCTGAAGTCACCGTGAGTTGCTTCTGTATTTACTGGTGTTTTCTCCATCAGGAGCCAGCTGGGCATTTCTGCTGCTACTGCTGCCCGTACTGCTGGTCATCACCGCAGGGGGCGTGGTCTGGAAGAAATTCACAGGGAGCTGCTGGTCTGAGAAGGCAAAGATGCCCCAAACCCTGGTATGGCAAATCTGGGAGGGGCTGGGGGAGAGAGGGGGGCCGTGATGAGAACTAAGGAAATGAGAGAGGCCTAGAGGGAATGCAGATCAAATACCAAGATGGTCCAGATGGTAAAGCATGTCCCACCATTGTGTCTAAATTCCCACCATTAGGAATTCATTCCTTTGGCATCAATTTAAAGAAAATATGCATAAGCATGAAAAGTACCTTTTTAGCTCAATAACTTCATCTACTAAGAATTTTTCCGGTGCTGTGAGTAGAGCTAGAGCAATAGCACAGCGGTAGGGCATTTGCCTTGCATGCAACCAACATGGCCGACCCAAGTTCGATTCCTCTGCCCCTCTCGGAGAGCCCAGCAAGCTACCGAGAGTATCTCGCCCGCACAGCAGAGCCTGGCAAGCAACCCATGACGTACTCGATATGCCAAACACAGTAACAACAAAGTCTCCAATGGAGACGTTACTGGGACTGCTCGAGCAAATCGATGAACAACAGGAGGACAGTGACAGTGACAGTGAGTAGAGCGCCCAGGATGGGACTCAGAAGAGATGCCCGGAAGGGCCGGGAAAGTGTGGCTCTGAAGGGGAGACTCAGAAGCATGTCCGTCCTTCGTTTAGTGTCACTGCAGTGTGTCTTTCTCAGAGTGACACTGAAATTCTCTCATTCGTCACTGCTTTCAAAGCCAGGGCCAAAGGGGCAGAGTGCGGGTGAGTCAGCCTTTGTGGGTGGGTTCTGAGAATTCTGACCTACAGGAGTAGGTTTCCGTTTGTCATTTTTTCCCCATTAGCTTGATACTTCTCTATGTGTGAAAGTTCCAGGTTTTGCTCATCTTTTTAATTTTTAAATATCTTAAAGGGTGTATTTTGTCTCTCAAATGAAGTGTCGTAAGTTTACAATCATATTAAAACTGTTTTGTTTTTGGTTTTTGGGTCACACCTGACTGTGCTCAGGGCTCACTCCTGGGTCTTTGCTCAGGGATCATTCCTGGCAGGCCTCAGAAGACCATATGCAGTGTCAGGAATTGAGCCTGGATAGGCCATATGTGAAGCAAGCTCCCTACATCTTGTACTATTTCTGGCCCCGAAATATATATTTTTTAATTTTTGAAATTGTTTTTATATAGTTGTAGATGGCCACAGCATTTTTGTTTTAAAAATATTTTTTTTTTATTTTTGGTGCCAAGAATTCAAGCCAGGGCCTCACATGTGACAACCATGCCCTGAGCTCCTTCTGCCCACAGGAGCCTTTTCAAATCCTGGCTCTGAGAGCTGAGGAAAATCCCACAAATGTGAGATCACCTGGTGTCCACGACCCCTGCCCGTGCCCTTGCTCCTCCAGCTTCCCACCACTGGGAAAACACCACTTTGCCTCCAGCATCAGGTACCCGCATCTAGGGGCACTCACTGGCCCCTGGGGTCCACTCTCCCAGCCCCAGGGACAGGGTATATATGGCAAGGAACCTACAGAACCACCCTCTCCCCTCAGTCCCTCCATGCCAGCTGGCAGACGGACACCTCAAGTGCCCTCGGTCCATGCAATGCAGTGGCCCCTGGTGCCCTGCAGGGTGCCCCTCCAGCAGCCCTTGGGTGCGCTCACCTGAGAGCAGCCCTTTAGAGGCTCTTCCCCCAGCCCTTCTCATCTGCCTACCCCGTACTGGTGTTTCCTGGGATCTCATCTGATTCTGGTCCGATTCTGATTCTGGTTCAAGTCTGTTTAGGGAGGATCAGATTAAAGGGTCCTTACTGCTTGCTGATTTCCGTTCTTTCCTCTCCCCAAATCAGGACTTCTCTGGACACAGACCCACCATTGTCACTTTGCCACCTCGCATCCTTGAGTCCCTGGATAATTTGAATGTCTGTCCCCAGAAGGAACTGAGCATCAGGGCCAAGCTGAGTGCTCAACGCAGGATCCCAGTGGGCACTCAGGCATGGACAGAGAAGGGTAGCGCCAAGGGGGTCAACGAGGAGGAGGAGGAGGAAGTCACCGATGAAGATGACGACAGTGACAGCATCTACTTCCGGCCCTACATTTTGCCACCCCAACTCCCAGAGCACTCAGAGCTCGCGGGTTGGGGGACTCCAGGAGTCCTAGAAGACAAGCCCCCTGCCTGGGATTCTTCATCCTCCTCTTGGGCCAGGACTGAGTCCTCTGGCTATCTCTCCAAGGAGGGGTCGGGCCAGAGACTGGAGAGGGAAGGGTCTCCGGGGCCTCTCCTGCTCCCCAAAGACTCCAAGGACTCAGATTCCCTGGAAGAGCCCCTGGAAGATGATCCTAGCTCTTGGGTGAGCTGGGGTTCCTTATTGCCAGGATGGACTCTGGACCCTGGAGAGCCCCAGGTTTGTCTCCACACACTGAGCATCCTCAGCAGCACTGGAGAGGAGGAGGAAGAGGAGGAGGAGGAGGAGAGCGGGGTGGACTCTGATAGTGAGGACTGTGGAGCCAGCAGCTGGGAGGCCAAGAGCCCCCAGGAGGCTGAAACCAGGGGCCACACTCTGGGGCATTACATGGCCAGGTGAGCTGTGCCGTGCTTCCCTCCTGTTCTGTGGCCACCAGGGATACTGAGCTTTCCAAGGACCACAAGTCTTGGGAATAGCATCTCTGGGATGGCCGAAGGTTCTCACTGCTCTTTGGAGAACCCCCAGAGGCTGCTTGTCAGTAGGGTGATGGTAAGAAATCACCCTGTCCTCTAGGCCCCCTGCTTAGGGCTGGGCTCTAAGAGGGGTCAAGAGAAGGCTGGGCTGAGGTCAGAGGTGGCTGGGCAACAGGTGAAAGCACTTTTCTGGGTTGAAAGGTCAGGTGAATGAGTGCTCCTTTGACAATGTGAAGCAGCTGAGGTCAGGTCACAGTGGACATCAGGCACCTCCCAGAGCCGTCTAAAATTGAGGGAGCAGGAAATTTGAGGCACATCTCACACTTCCAAATCTCAGCATCCTGATCCATGCATTCCTTAGGTGAGCCCCAAGAGGCAAGTAGAAGGTGCTGAAAGCGGAAGGGGAGAACTTTGACCTTCAGCCACGTGTCTGAGTCATGGAATCACAGTGTTTACATCACACACTGGATCCCAGTCCTAGCTCTGCCAGGACCCCCTGTAACCCTCTTTCTTTTTTTTTTTTTATGTTGGGGTTTTTTGTTTGTTTTGTATTGTTTTAGGACTACACTTAGTGGTTCTCAGGGCTCGTTCCTGGCTCTGTGTCCAGGGGTCACTTTGCCAGGACCCTATGGGTTCTGGGGATCAAACCCAGGTGAGCCGTTTGCAAGACAAACATCTGCTGCCCTGTGGCACCAGCCCCTGTGCCTTGGTCTCTTCACCAAGGTTTCTTCACTGCCACCCGGGGTGTCGTGAGACTCAAGAGAGAACAGAAGAGAAAGACAAAGACCGGGATGCTTGTAAACTGCATATTATGGGCATCTGTGTGGTGGCCTCTGCCCAGTCTGGGACATGGCCACAGGGTCTTTTGCATTGGAGCCCCCTGAGCTCAGAGTGAGGGGATGCAGCTGCCTTGCTGTATGTCTCCCTTCTGTGCTCACTGTCCTGCCTCAGAAACCAGCGCATCCGGAAACCAGGGCCCAGCTAAGGGAGCCAAAGTCCCTCTCCCTTTTCCCTGCAAAAAAAACAAATGTCAACCTTCCAGAGGGTGTGTTCATGAGAGGTGAGCTCGCAGGCAGTAGGAAACTGGGATTCCTGGGCCTCAAGTCCTGTTTTAGCCATTTCAGACCTTTGGTTGATGCTAGGTTTTCACTCTCTGTCCTGGTATCTCTGGAAATATATGTCACTGCCCTGTACTGGGGCCAGTGACTCAGCTTCTCAAACAGGTGCTTTGCTAACAGCCTCCCACCCAGTTGTCTGTGAGCACACAACCCCAGATGAACATGGTTGAACTTTCACCCAGAGGGTCCAGCATTTTGGTCTGTTGTGTGTCTGGCTCTTCCTGGGCCCTGCCATGGAACCGCCAGAACCTGCCTTTCTCTATTATGCCTAAAGGGTTCAGAGCTATTTACCAGTGGCAAAGTGTTGTTCTAAAGCCAACCTGAGAGACTAGAATGAAAAGAAAAATCTGGAAAAGCTCCTCAAGGATACCTGGCCCAGGAGTACTCACGCCCTATTTTCAGAAGCCTGTGTTTCCCTGGGAGGAGCCCATAGTGAGAGGGAGGAACCTGATCTCTAGACTCCCCGTTCCTGCCAGCCAGCACAACCTCCCAGTGCCCAGATTCCTGGCTGCAGGCGCCTGCCCCAGGATTTGGGTTTGAGGGATTCCTCTGCTAAAGAGAAGGTTAGTTAGCCTCCAGACATCTCTCTTATTTCCAATGAAGAATCTGAAATGTTGACTTGCTGTTTTATCCTTAAGGGTGAGAGTTTTGTTTTTCCTTAGCTGGTCCAAGTACTTTGGCTGTGTCGGCAAAACCTTGGTTGTAATTCTCACACACACACACACACACACACACACACACACACGAACAGATATACACATGTGTACACATACACACAAATACCCACACGTGCATACATACATATACAGACATATACATGTTCTCTCTATCTCTGTCTCTGTCTCTGTCTCTCTCTCTCTCTCTCTCTCTGTGTCATATATGCATGCATGCATGTCTGCAATCATTGCCCTACAAAATGGCTTGTCCCCATTCCTAAGTGTGAAGAAAGAACAAAGCAAATTCTGGGCCAGTTCCCAGGAAATTTCCCAGACCAAGGCTCAACTTTTACAAAGGCCTTTCGCCTCCAGTGGCCTAAGTCCTACAATCCTGCTTAAAGGACTTGAGGTAAAGAAGGGATATGCTTCATATTGGAACAATTTTATTCTTTAGAGAATTGACATTATATACCATTCTAGGTATTCATATTTATTTATAATTTTGTTCTGTTTGTGTAATATTTAAATGATTTCCTAATGCTTGTTTGTTTGTGCTAGCCTAAACATTTTTTTTTAATAAAGAGCTCTTTTTTAGAGGGAAAGGTAAAAGTGAATGAGAAGTGTGTGTTCCTCTTTTTCAAAGACTCCTCACCTCTCATCTGTGTAATTCTAGCCTTTGAGACAATAAGGTCTTTGTTGGTGGGAATGTAAACTAGTGCAGCCTGAACAGGGAACAGTAATTAAAGAAATTCCATATAATACAGCCCTTCAACTTCTGAGTAATTACCCCCCAAAATCACAGCATTATTTCAGTAACAAATATTTGGAAACAACTTAAGTGCTAGACATGAGTGGATCAAGAAGTTGTGGTATGTATGCTCAGGGGTCAGAGCAATAGTACAGCAGGTAGGGCCTTTGCCTTGCACCTGCCAACCCAGGTTCAATCCCTGGCACCCAAATGGTTCCCCAAGCATGGCCAAGAGTATTCCTGAGGGCAGAGCCAGGCGTAACCCCTGAGCACTACCAGGCGTGGCACAAACAAAACCAAAAAAAGATATACTGCTCAGTTTCTTTTCTTTTCTTTTTTTTTTTTTTTTTTTTGTAATGGAATCCTTCCTTTTTCAGTAACAGGGATGGACTTAGAGGGTATTATACTCAGGGAGGTAAACCAGACAAGGATGATAAACCCCATGTGATTTCACTCACATATGATGAGAAGGAAATTTAAAAAATTAATAAAACAAATAGAGACTATCAGACTAATGTTAGTAGGGCTGGGTCAATAGGATAAAAAGGGTCAATTGTTTGATGAAAGAAGTGGACTTTTACTGGGGAATTCAACATGGTATAATGTTAATTTTTGTTTGGGAAAGGGGGGCACTATATCCAGCATAGGATATAGCTTCTGGCTCTGTGCTCAGAGATTACTCCTTGCTTGCTCAGGGGACCATCTGGGGTGTTGGGGACAAATCAGGGTCAGCCATGTGCAAGGCAAATGTTGTGCCTGCTATACTATCACTCCGACTCCTAGATGTTGATTTATAATAATGCACACTTGAAAATTATGTAGCATTTAGTAACATTACTTTGATTTTGGCAAAGCCTGGCAAGCTCCCTGTGACGTATTCGATACGCCAAACACAGTAACAAGTCTCACAATGGAGACGTTACTGGGCCTGCTCGAGCAAATCGATGAACAACGGGAGGACAGTGACTTTGATTTTAAAATTTTAATGGGGGATAATTTAATGATATGATTTAAGAATATTTACTTCAAAGGTGAAGGAGACTCTGAGGTTTTGAGGCAGTGGTTGATTTCAGAAAGTGCCAGAAAGCACAGACAGGGAAATGGGAAATAAGTCAGAGAAAAAAGGAAGTGAGAGGGGAAGTAGGCTCTCTGGGAATGTGATCTTACAGCCACTAGCCTGGGCCACTGGGGCTCAGTTCCCCTGTGAGAGAGGAAAAAAATATATATAGCATTCAGCCTCTCTTGCAGTGAGCACTTGGATAGCATACTGTGAGCTATCAGATATCAACCTGGTGTGGAGAGGTTAGTCTTTGGGTTTCTGTGTTAGAGCCTCTGATTTATTCCCCTGACAATGGCAAGAGCTAAGGGGATTGACCCATTAACTTCTATCAACACTGTGTAGACAGCCATCACCATGACCGGATATGGCCCAAAAGCCAAAGAAAAAATTACCTGGACATTTTGGTCCCTGCCCCAGAGATTGTGAAGTCCAGGTTATTTCCAGGGTGACAGGAGCATCTCTTGTACTTGGGAGGAGATTCTGAGGGAGCCTTTGGAAGGCTCCTGGTTGGGGATGGATTATCATTGGAAAAGCCAAGCCCTGCTGAGAAGCTTGGAGTTTTTTTAGCCCTCCCCACTGATAATGGAGTTAATGATTGATGTCACCTAGGTGAGGTTGCCTCCATAAAACCCCAACAGTATGAAGTTGGGAGACCTTCCAGGTCCAGCAGTGCAAGAATGTGATCATATGGTCAGTATATGACGGTATGGAATGGGGCACACCCAACTCCAAGGGAATAGAAATTCCTGTCCCAGGACCCTCCCTGGCCTCACCCTGTATACGGCTGCATCTAGCTTTTCATCTCTTCCCATCATCGGAACCCCTAGGAAACCGGTAAGTGTGTTTCTCTAAGGTCTATGAGCTGCTCTAACAAATCAATGAGGCCCAAAGAGGAGATAGTGGGAACTTCAGATCTCTCCAAAGCTCAAGTGAGACCCTGGGCTTGGCACAGGCATCTGAGTCTGACTTTCCCAGGGAATCCATAGCTCTCTTCTGGTAGTGTCAAAATTGAGTAAACGTGTAGGATATGCATTTGGGCCTACAGAATTTCATGGTGGGTGTAGGGCGGGGCTGGGGGACCCACACATCTGGGATCAGAGTGCATGAGTGTCACAGTGTGAGCATAAAGGGGCAAATACTAGTCCTTTCTGCAACAGCTTGCAAACTCAAACTGGCTCTGCTAGCTCTCTACTGGGAACAGTCTTCCCACTTCCAACACTCTCCAAGGGCTCCCTGCTCAGTACCTGGCATTGTATGTGCTCATTGTCAACCTCTGCGGCAACAGGGCAGGTTCAAGACCTAAACTGAACTGATCCAACAACTTCTTTTCTCTGGAACTCAGAGACAAAACCTGCTATGGCCATATTTTCCATTTCCCAGTCCAAGGAATAGGAAGCCCATAGTGCAAAGGGGACAAAAATAGGCTGCTTAGAAGTGTTTTGA